GACAAAAATGGAGGAACCAAGCCCTAGATTTTTTCTTAAGCAACTTGGCAAGTTAGACAACACAGGCAAACATGTGAGGCTTAAGATGTCCAACCAAGTGGAGGGTCTGAGTAGGCAAATGGATACAAGAGTCAAGCTAAGTAAGGGAAAATGTTGGAGCTGGAGACATACAATTACAAGCAATTGTTATACAAATGGTTTTTAAAGCTATGTTACAGAGTCCATTATGTGAACACACCACCTTTCCCCCTCCTATTGATGAACATTTGGGTTCTTTCCAAAAAAATCATTATATATGTTCTACATATATATACAGATAAAATACAGACACACACACACACACACACACATATTATACATGTATTCCAGGGCACTTTGTGTTAAGAATTTTCTTGACTATACACCTAAAAGTGGAATTGTTGGCTCATAGGTATGCAAATATCAACTTTTCTACTGAGTTGTTTTTCAAAATGGATATACCAATTGACACTCCAATCAGCAATATGAGTGATCCTGTTGAATAATGTCCTCTCCAAGACTTGACTTTGTTGGGCTTAATTTATGCCAATTGAATGAATTTAAGCATGTCATTATGGGCTTGATTTGCTTTTCTGTGATTAACAGGGAAGAACACCTCCTAGTATGTTTATTGACTCATAAGTGCTTCCAATTCTGTGGAAAACCTGTGTCATGGTTTGAATTATGACCCCCAAAAAATGTGTGTATCAATTTGGTTAGGCCATGATTCCTGGTACTGTGTGATTTTCCTGCATGTTGTAAACCTGCCTCTATGATGTTAATGAGGGAGGATGGGTGGCAGTTTTGTTAGTAAGGCAGGACTGGATCTACAAGACTGGACTGTGTCCTGAGGCAATCTCTTGAAATATAAAAGACAGAAGTGAGCAGTGAGACAGGGGGACCTCATACCATCAAGAAATCAGCGCCAGGAGCAGAGCACGTCCTTTGGACCAGGGCTCCCTGTGCTGAGAAAAGCTCCTAGTCCGGGGGAACACTGAAGAGAAGGCCGACAGAGAGAGAAAGACTTCCCCTGGAGCTGACACCCTGAATTTGGACTTTTAGCCTACTTTGACTGTGAGGAAATAAATTTCTCTTCCTTAAAACCATCCACTTGTGGTATCTCTGTTATGGCAGCACTAGATGACTAGGACAACCTGTTTCAGTCTTTTGCCCATTTTCTATTAGGTAGTTTGTTCTTTTCTTGATTCTAGATTTCTGTATATATTCTTCATACTAGTCCATTATCGATCATATGTGTTGCAAATAACTTCTCACAATCAGTAGCTTGGTTTTATGTCTTTTGATGGACAGAAGTTCTAAATTAAGAATTTATAATATAGCACAACTTAATCTTTCCTTTCATGGTTAATCTTTTAAAGTTTCTTTTTGTTTCTAGTTTAAGAACCTCTTAAAGCAAGCAGGATTAGGAAACTATTCACCTAATTTTCTACGAAATGTTCTAAAGCTGTGCTTTTTGACATTTAAGTCCTTAAAACATAGTTGTTTTTTGTGTAGAATGTGAGCAAGTGATCCCATTTCATATTTTCCTTTCACTTTTTGTCCGCTTTTAATGAATTATTTCTTCTTTCTACCATTGATCTACCAAGCTTCCTCTATTATGAAATTGGGGGGGGGGGGACTTTATTCTGTTCCATTGGGCATTTTGTCTATTTCTGCACTAATATCACACTCTTGAATACCTCAGCCTCATAAAAAGTCCTTCTTTGTTGTTAGGTGCCATTGAGTCGGTTCCAATTCATAGTGACCCTATGTTCAACAGAATGAAACGCTGCCCAGTCTTGTACCATTCCTCACAATCATTGTTGTGCTTGAGCCCACTGTTGCAGCAACTGTGTCAATCCATCTTGTTGAGGGTCTTGCTCTTTTTCCAACCCTGTATTTTAACAGGCATGATGTCCTTCTCCAGGGACTTGACACTCCTGATAACAAACATGTCCAAAGTACATGAGATGAAGTCTCACCATCTTCACTTCTATGGAGCATTCTGGCTGTATTTCTTCCAAGACAGATTTGTTCATTCTTCTGGCAGTCCATGGTGTATTCAATATTCTTCACCAACACATTAATTCAAAAGCATCAATTCTTCTTCAGTCTTCCTTATTCACTGTCCAACTTTCACATGCATATGAGGCAAATGAAAACACCATGGCTTGGGTCAGGTGCACCTTAGTCCTCAAAGTGGTATCTTTGCTTTTTAACACTTTAAACAGGTCTTTTGCAGCAGATTTGCCCAATGCAATAGGTTTTCTTTCATTTGTTTTTTTATTGTGCTTTAGGTGAAAGTTTACAGTTCAAGTTAATTTGTCATACAAAAATTTATACACAGTTACATGACATTAGTTGCAATCCCTATAATGTGACAGCACACTCCCTCTTTCCACCCCAGGTTTCTTGTGTCCATTCAACCAGTTTCTCTCCCTTCCTGCCTTCTCATCCTGCCTCTGGACAGGAGCCGGCCATTTGGTCTCTTGTATCTAATTGAACTAAGCAGCACACTCTTCACAAATATTATTTCCTGTTTTATAGTCCAGCCTAATCTGTGTCTGAAGAGTGGACTTCGGGAATGGTTTTAGTTCTGGGGGGTTATTTGATTTCTTGATGGCTACTTCCATGGGCATTGATAGTGGATGCAAGTAAAATGAAATTCCTGACAACTTCAATCTTTTCTCCATTTATCATGATGTTGCTTATTGGTTCAGTTGTGAGGATTTTTATGTTAAGGTATAATCCATACTGAAGGCTGTGGCCTTTGATCTTCATCAATTAAGTGCTTCAAGTCCTCTTCACTTTCAGCAAGCAAGGTTACATCATCTGGATACTGCAGGTTGTTAATAAGTCTTGCTCCAATCCTGATGCTGCATTCTTCTTCATATAGTCCAGGTTCTCAGAGTATTTGCTTAGCATACTGACTAAGTAAGTATGGTGAAAGGATACAACCCTGATACACACCTTTCCTGATTTTAAACCGCACAGTATCCCCTTGTTCTGTTCAAATAATAGCCTCTTGGTCTATGCACAGGTTCCTCATGAGCACAATTAAGTGTTCCGAAATTTCCATTCTTCACAATGTTATCTATAATTTGTTATGATCCACACAGTTGAATGCCTTTGCATAATCAATTAAAACACAGTTAAACATCTTTCTGGTATTCTCTGCTTTCAGCCAGGATCCATCTGACATCAGCAATCATATCCCTTGTTCCACGTCCAAAGTCTTTCTGGTAGGACAAATTCCCCCTCCTCAAAATTTCTCTTCAAAAGTGCCTTGGTCATTTTTCATCTTTTACTCTGCCACATAAATTTACAATCATTTTTCAATTCCAGGAGAAATGCTGGGATTTAGTTTTTAGATGCACTCCATCTATAGATCAATTTGGAGAGAAATGACATCTTTTCTGATACTGTCTTTCTTTAAAAGCATTTTCAATTTGTTTTTGTGTGGAAAATCTTCTGAAGCTTTGAATACCTAACAATACTCTTATTACACTCTCATATTAAAATAACTATCAAGAAATAAAATTCTAGGTTCAAAGTTCTTTTCATGTTCAATCTCAGATTCTTAAGCTGGTATGGTTGAACCATGGTAATGATGGTTTCAACCATACCGCTGATAAGCCTTTTGTCTGTGGTCTTCTATCCAGCCTGGTGACCAAACTTTCTATACGTAAAGTTGTCCAAACCTCTGAGACAGAATTGGAAAAAACAGCATCTTCAGAAAACCAGCTTTCTCATACACTGCTGCTGTGAATATAAATTGGTTCAACTTTTCTAAGGGGATTTTTGCAATGCAGATCAAAAATTTTACAATACATGTATACCTTCATCCAACAATTTTACTTCTAGGTAGCCACATTAATGGAATAACCTAACAATATTAAAGAAGTACACATAAGGATACTCATCACAGCATTATGATATCCAAAAACACTGAAAACAACCTAATGTCAAAACACAATTAGTTAAATACTGTCAAAATCATACAGTGATTAAGATGGTACAGATTTACCAACAGGGGGAAAATATTTAGGTAAAAAGCAAGTCAGTCCATTTTTTTTTCAGACATATGCAGTATCTAGGTAGAAAATATCTAAAAACTAAAAGATTATTCTCCAAAAATATTAACAGTAGCTGTCTTTGGATGGAGAGACTAAAGTGGTTTCTCATTTCTTCTTTCTGCTTTTCTTTACTTTCTGTATTTCTACCATGAGCCTCTTTACTTTTATAATTAATTTTAGTAAGTAGCTCCTCCATATGATTATCAGTTTTATAACCTGGAACTTATAAAGTGGTTCTACGATCAGTATATACTTTGCATGTACTACTCCTGCAACCCACACACCTTCAAACTCCCCTGAGTACACATCAAACTCTTTACTTACCTTTATATCCCTCCAATGCCTATTACCTGTACCTGTTGCCACTGAGTTGATTTCAACTCATAGCAACCCTATATGACAGAATAGAACTGCCTCATAGGGTTTCCAAGGAGCGGCTGGTGGATTCAAACTGCCAACCTTTTGGTTAGCAGCCAAACACTTAACCACTGTGCCACCAGGACTCCATGCCTATTACAGTGCTCAGCATATAGAAAGTATGAAGACCTTACATTAATTTGTTCCAGAATGCATCTCTGGGATAAAATGTAACAGTCTTGTACCTATTATATTTAACAAATAACCATAATAAAGGGGTTCTTTAAATTAGAGAGCAGAATAATTAAACCAGTAACTTTCCAATTTTTTTACAGGAGAAGTTTTTCTTCAAATAAAATCTTTTTTCAATACCCAATACATAAAAGAGATAAAGATAGAGCCGTTGTAGTGAGGAGATGAAAGCTTAGTCCCATCCACCTAACCTTCTTCCTTGCCTCTCACAGGCTGCTGCACAGTTTGACAACTACTACATAAAATTCAGCTGACCCTGTATGGCATGTCAGAGGTGGAAGAGAAAGCAAAAACACATTCAATCTAACAAGTATTTATTTAGCTTGTTTTTTTTTTTGTTTTGCAACTATAAATTACAATCACTAGTACACCTGTAATTCTTCCTTATAGTGTGCTCAACTAAAGAATAAGCAAACACAGCATAGGTCAGTTTAAAACAAATCACAGTACTTCTTAGTGTCATTTGCAAAAAAGTGAAAAAGTCTTAGGCCCACTTCTTAGAAATAAATATCAAGTAACCATAAAAATATTCAGCCATTTTCCAGTTATTCAGGGAGGTTCATGCATGCTGCCAGGCAGAGAGAGCATCAGAGTTCCTCTTTGAAATATCCCAGCTTTGCCAATGACATCTCTTTTCTCAACTGCATAACTTCCCAAAACATCTGATCAACTACACAAACAGAAGAGAGAGACATGTAAAATGTAAAAGAAATACCATCTTAATTATTTCTAATCTCTTGCACTGAAAATTTAAGATCAGCTGAAATACCAATGAGCATTTCCTACTGATGTACCTAATGCCTAGACATTCTATGGATATTTCACACAAGCTTTTCCACGTACTGTGGGTATCCCAGTTTTATCAATAAATAAGCAATATTAAAGCAGTTTTATAAGAACTATCTGTTAGATACATCAATGACTAAAACTTTAGCCCAAGAGAAGGTAAATATTTCAGTGTCCCTTATAAACGTCAATGCTGTTACCTTCATAAATAATTACATTCAATGCTCAATTATTCAAAAGTTTATTATCTAACTTATGGATCTTTTTGCTCTATTTAGTTTGCTGTATCTTAGCCATTTCACTGTTCATTAAAACTAACAGAAAATGAGTAGGAAAAAAGTAAAACAAAAGACAGTCCAGAAAACTCAGTCACATTCTTTGTGAGTAATATTAGGAAAAGGTTTTCTGTATGGCTTTAATTGTAAACAAAAATATGTGTAGAGGATGATCTGTGAATGTCAGTTATCTATACTTTTATAAGCCCCAAACATAAATGGAAAAAAAACTGGCTCTATAATTCACACAACAGAAAGTATCTGTCTGACATACGATCAGATTAGACTGATTTGGATCACTGGTTCTCAACCAGGGGAGATTTTGCCCCCAGGGTACATCTGGCAATGTCTGGTGACATTTTTGGTTGTCACATCTAGGGGGATGCAACTGGCATCTAGTGAGTAAAGGCCAGGGATGTTGCTAAGCATCCTACAATGCACAAGCCAGCACTCCACAACAAAGAATTATCCAGCACAAAATGTGAACAGGGCCGAGTTGGAGAAACCCTGCTTTAGATTTAAACCCGCTGTCATCAAGTTGATTCCAACTTAAAGCGACCCTACAGGACAGAGTAGAACTGCTCCACAGGGTTTCCAAGGCTGTCATCTTTATGAAAGCAGAGTGCTACACCTTTCTCCTGCAGAGCTGCTGGTAGGTTTGAACCACTAACCTTTTGGTTAGCAGCCGAGTGCTTAACCACTGAGGTACCAGGGTTCCTTCGCTTTAGATTTAGCTGCCCTAAATCCTTTCTAGGCACAAGTCACTAATAGTAAACATTTTAAAATTAATTAATATTTACTTATTGCAAACCCACACAGTGTATGATGTACACCAAATACTGTGGAGAAGACTGACGGAAACTAAAGAAGATACCACTTTTTTCACCATCATCTCTACGACCACTCATGACATTTTCTTCCTATTTTTATAAAATAATCGTTTAGTCTGCTCAACAAAAACTTTTTAATTTAATAAGAAGAATATGCTTGACAATTTAACGTAACAGAAATCATCTGTTTACCAGTTTAAATTATATTACCCACAAACAGGTATTCAAAAATATTTCAGTTTTAAAGTCATAAAAAGTTTTGTAGTTTAAGGACTACTTTTATGTTGAGCAGCCTCTTGAAGTTCAACATTAACTACAGATTTCATCCTCATTTATAAATATGAGTATTTGCAACACACCAGAGCTTGAGGAAGGCTAAACTAAGTTTTTATCAGCATAACTAATTTTCCCACAGAATCAAGATTCACTGGTTTACGTGGTTGAAAGACAGTAGGCTTCTACTAGTGTTTAAGCATAAGAATATAAAATCATATTTTCAGTGCCTAAAAAATATATATAAAGAAGAAAATTCCCCACATCTTAAAATACAAAATTGACATGGACTTGTCCCTAGTCCAGTACCTGCTATTTCTATTTTAAAGCAGCCATGAGTACTCAAGAAGCACTTCTCTGGAGCTAGCAGGCCATGTCAGTTTTTACGACATTCAGCTATAAAACCATCAGTAATCATAAAAGACTGTATTAAAAATATTAAAACATTTGCATGGTGTTGCTCTCCTGGATATATTATCTCCATGTTTCTGGTGATTTAGAATACAACAGTAATCTTTTTTTTTTTTTTTTAATTCCACTTTAGATGAAGGTTTACAGAGCAAACTAGTTTCTCATTAAGCAATTAATACACATATTGTTTTGTGACATTGGTTGCCAACCCCACGACATGTCAACACTCCCTACCTTCTCGACCTTGGGTTCCCTGATTTAGAATACAGTAGTAATCTTTATTCCATTCACAATTATCCTCATGACTGCTTTATTAATTCACATGAAAGTAGAAAATATAGAAAAAATTTATTGTTAGCTCCTTTATGGTTTCCACCATTAAAAAAATCTGACCACTTCTAAATCCTGCTCATTTTCATTTCTTAAAGAGTTTAAGTCCAATGAGCTCTGCACTCTCCTCACATTTACCATCTGGCTTATCACATATCCCTTAAGAGTTAAAACTATTCCTACCTAAAATCAGAATTAGAGCAAAATTACACAAATAAAAGCAGTAAATAAAATATGTCCTTTCAAAAAAAGAGACATTTGTTCCCAAATTCTCCGTATATTTTAATAGAACTATAAAAGTGACTGAGCCCTGGTAGTGCAGGTTAAGAGCCCAGGCTGCTAACCAAAAGGTTGGCAGTTCAAATCCACCAGCCACTCCTTGGAAACCCTATGGGGCAGTTCTACTGTGTCCTATAGAGTCGCTATGAGTCGGAATCGACTCGACGGCAACAGATTTTGGTGTTTTATAAAACTGATTCTCTATAAAAGTACCAATAATAAAGTTTGAAAATTACTATTATGCTCTAAACTTTTTGCTAAACTGCTTATGTAATTCATTTCTAAGATGAATTAAAAACACTCACCATCCTGCTGTTTCACAAGTCCCTGCTGAATATATCGAATGTATGTAAAAAAGTTACACACAGAAGTGATCTAGACCAAAAGAAAAAATGTCGTTAATAGTCAAATGTCTCATATCAAAATGAGTTATATTAAAATTCATGGTGAAGTTACGTACCCTGTATCTGCAAAAAGGAGAAATGTAATAATAGTTGCTCGAGTCTCCTAATTTAATTCTGTGTTTACAAGACTTACTCTGGCCAGTGAGAGCACATTTTCTGTAAAATAATGACAGATTTTAGTTCTGTACCATTAAGAGCATTTTGTTCCTACATTCTGTGCAAGCTGTGCATTCATCCAGTCAGACAACAGATATCTGAGAATCTACCATGTACCAGGCACTGTTCTAGATGCTGGGCAAACAAGACAACGTCCCTGCCTTTGTAGGTCTTACATTCTAGTATAAGTTTAATACCGTAACATTACCCATGGTTTTAGAAATATAAACTAGATGTTTTAAAAATTCTCTGAATTTGTCTAAATAACTCTTAAAATACTTTAGTTCTACTTGTTACCATCACCACTGGTTAGACTATGAAAACAAAATACTGAAAATTGCATTTTTTTCTAAGACAGAATTCTAAGCAATGAAGTTGATAATACAAAAGGAAATAATATTTTATATTATTAATCAGTTAAAAAGTACAGTACAGGTGACACACGTTATCGATAGCTTGCAGGGTAACAGCCTCCAGATGGAGCCGTTTTTTTGTTTGGTTTATATGCATTTAGTGTAGCATATAAGACTAAGAACTACAAAAGAATAAGCCACCTTACAAAAATACTGAATCTTAACAATTATATAAGAAGTATACCTACAGGGTCGCTATGAGTTGGAATCAGCTCGACAGCAACGGGTTTTTTTTTTTTTTTTTTTGTATACCTTTAGACAAACCATCCTATTTGCATACTACAAAATCTAAAATCTGGTATGAGGGCTTTCTGGCTGGGATTAGGCTGATGAATAGGATGAGTGGGCTTGTCTATCAGGCAGCCTGGATGTCATCCTCCTAAGCTAGGAGCTTGACTCAACACAACTACCACTTCCTGTCACTGTAAAAGCAGCACAGCTCTAAGTGAAAGAAAGTGGCCGACAGCATTTTATATGACATTGTAAATTATATAATAAAGAAAAATATATTAAATGAACATTAAAATTCTGGCTGTACTTACAAGCAGTACAAGAAATATGACACAAATGTGCCTCTATATTAAAGAAAAAATGGAAAACGTGTATTTAGAACAGGATTTAATTTTGGGGGTGGCAATTCAAATCACAAAAGAACTCTTTATTTCTTTAAGAGATTTTGCTTCAGTGTTCCTTTATCAGCGAAGTCCTTTAATGATCTGTAATAATATTTAAAAGCACTAACTACTTGCTTGGGAAAAACAGGAGATCAAGAAATTTAAGGTGCAAGTGTTGGAAGTCCTTGGAATTTTCAAAAATATAATTTACACAAGGGGAAGACCAATTTGCACATTATTCTTCTGGAAACAGACATACGTGTCTGGCTACTATTCTGTCTATTTTGAAAGGGTTCTGTTAAAGTGGTTTTAAACATCAACTTTTAAAATTAAAAAAAAAAAAAAAGTGTTTCTAAAATTATTTCGTTTCTAAAGCCATATGTTAACTGGTCACACTCAATGTATTTTTACTCGAGCCAGGATTCAATCCTAAGTTTCTGACTGCCAACTCCAATGTTCTTTTAACATGCTATACTTCTCCTCAATATCTCTTTACAGCTCTAGTCCCAAGATTTCAAATCCTTGCCTACCATTTTCACTGGGGATGTCAACATGCCTAAACCTAGACCATTATCTTCTTCCTGAAACCAGAGCCCTTCCTATTAATTGCCAAAATTATTTCAAATCATTCTTCCAGTCGATCATGTCTTAACTCCTTTATCTTTTACCCATCCCTCCACCCCAACCTCGTCATCTCCTGATTTTTCCTTCTTAAGGTTTGCTGCATTTCTCCTTTCCTCACCATCCGCTGAACTCACTTTGTTTTTTGTTTCTAGGCCTTCAGTCACACATACTGTTCCTACTGTCCAGAACACACTCTACTCTATTGGGTGGACAGACTTCTTTATCTGTCCAAATTCTACCCATGCTTCAGAACCCAGATCAAATCTCCCTCCCTACAAGAAGAGTCCCTGATCACTCCAACCAGGATGATCTTGCCTTTCTCAAAATCCATACAACACTGTGCCATTCATTTAGTGACTATCTTCATAACCTAGTCTACAAGAGCCTTGGCCAGAGTCATACCCATATTTCACAAAAGGGAACACCTTTCTTCAGTTTTTTCTACAATATGTACTCCAAAACACCCTGGCTTCTGGTTCCATTCCCACAAGCACAGTATCCTTAAATTATATAAATTGTTCCCTATACCTACCCTACATAATTATTTTACTAAAATACCATAAATTCACTTCAGCTGATATCCCCATTTGTCACCATTTGATATTTACACAAGTATAATACGTGTGACATATAATGCAAACACAAATTTAAAATTCTGCAATAAAAACTGTGATATTTAAAATAAGGTATGACACAGATCTTAAAAGTATACAAACTGCTATCATTAAATTTAATTACCCCTTTATTGGGGTGAAGAGTCAGGATGAAAACACTCAGGTGTTTGTTGAAGAAGGAGAATTTAGAAATGTAAATCCTTTCCCCAAAATTCAGAGGCCGCTGTGCTATACAGGTGTGGCACAGGTGAGTGTAAAACTGGACACAACCCTAGCTGCATGTGTGGCTCACAGTACAAACACATGACTAGGTGCCTCCACAAATGGCTGCCCAAATACCAACATTCTGTAATCTTGGTGAGAACGATATGTGCATAACAGAAAAGGGAAGAACCATAAGACTCCTACAACAGGCTTTAACAGACCTACTGGTTAATCTCAACCTATACTCTTCCTATTCTGGCTTCAAAATGACCGTGACGAGTCAAATACTGCGTTCTAGGAGCTCACTCAGCTTTCCAGTCCTCTATATTGATCAAGTTCTAACCACTAAGGCACCTTCCTCAAAAGTTTTCTGAGTTATTTTTTAAACAGAGGCCAAAGCACAATTATGCCTTGGTTAGGCAAAATCTTCAGCTGCCAAAGGCTTTAGACACAGTTGGTTTCAACTGGTTTCAGTCACAGTTGGTTTCTGCCTTCCCTCTTCCTACACCTGAATGAAAATAAGCCTGCCCTGCTATAAAATGTGAGAGTCTTACCTCTGAAGGTTTATAACTGCCAAGTATCTCTCACATAAGGAAGAGAGGACTGATTATTTACCAAAGTGAGAATCCTTTACAATGACAGTAAGAAGGAGAGGACTAATCAAGTCCTTCTGGTACCCTGTTTTCATGCTTGATAAGACTTAATCTAACTCAGTGTCTTCTCAAACTATTTTTGATCATAAACCTCAGGAAGAAATATTTTACAGAGAAACACAATGCGTACAGCTATATATGTATGTTTAACAAACAAACAAAATTCTGTTAATGACCCACTAAACTGATTTGAGCCACCAATGGGTCACGACATGTGGTTAAAAAGAAAAAAAAGTTTCTGATCCCTGGTATACCTGGATACGTATTATATATTTTCACAATTAAAAGAGCTCTCTCGATGCTAAGCTTGAAATGTTATATCCCCTATTATCTAGGGATTTGTCTTTTGGCTGCACAGACTATATAGAAAATTGATGAGAAATTCATCCACATTTAAAACTAGGAAAACTAAATGACAAATGCAACACATGACAAAATTTTTAAACTCAGTATCTTTCACAAGTCATGAATTTTAAAACATACTTTGGTCCTCCACATTCAACTGCAGAAGCCTTCACGAATCGAATAGGTTGTAACCCCACTGGTTCAATGCTTAGAGTATTGTTTTCCACAGCTTCCAGAACAGCTGAAGCCAACTTTAAAAAAATAAAAAGTATTAGGTACTATGCTGGCAGACAGATTATCAAAATTGTATTTTACTGTAAACTAATTTTTTAAAATTATTCTTTCCCCAAGTTCCACTAGCTTGGCCTCAGCCCACGAAAAGGAAAAAAACCACATAATCTTGGTTAATTCAAACACTGTCATTACAGGCAATTCAGCTATAGCTGACTAACTCCTCTTGTTATCTGACAGAGGATTAAAGTCATCAATTCCAGGCTCTGTCCACTCCTTCCCACAATTAATATCCACTGTTAACACCACCTCGAAATGAATATCCTAATGCTACATTTTACTAAATTTATGTAATATTCCATAGTATTGATCATTTATAATACAGCAACATATGGATACTACGTGTAGCTACATATTTTCTGAACTTGTGTTTACGTGCACAAGGGTGAGTCTACAAAAGAATTAACTGAATTATCAAATGTTAAATGCCCAAATGAAGATGGTAGCAACTGATAAACAATGAACAATACATGAAATGGGCATAACTTCTTTACAGTCTGGCATGATTATTAATATTGATTGGCCTGCCTGAAACTAGCCACAGAGCCATGATGAACAACATATCTACCTATCAAAAATGTTTTACTGTTCATCTCAACATCTCCTTACAAGCAATGTTACAATTAAGTCCTCAAAAGAGTAAACGTAACACTCTTAAGATTAAACTTCTTAAATACTGATTTATAGAATATTTGTAGACCAACTTTTAACACATAAGTACAAATCAAAATTATGACCTTACACTTGTATAGTGCCTTATATATTTTTTAAAGCTGTTTAAACAACTTCATTTTATCCTCATAACAACTTGTGACACAGGTAAGAAAAAAGCATTGTTTTCCCTGTTTTAAAGATGAAGAAACTAATATGATTTCTTTAATCAAGACCAGATAAACTCAATAATTGCCTTTAATAGGAAGTGCAGAGTGCACAGAACTTCCCTTACACTGAACTTCAGACTAAGACTTAAGAAATCAGCTCTATCCCCAATACATATTTAACAGTTCATTCCAATGCAGTACACATTTCAGTACAAATGAACCTCTGTTCAAATAAGAAAGATGGTCAGTAACTGAATGCCAAGAAATTATGATCTTAATATGGAACGGAAAAGTGGTAAAACATGGCATTTAATAACAACTTATTTATGTAAGAGATCTAAAATATGTAATATGATTTAGTTGAAGGTACAGAAAGGATTCTAATGTGTTCCCACTAAAGTGGAAAAAAAAATATTACCTCACTTTTTGAGAATGTTAAACATGGAAAGATATCTTCCTGGTAGATTTTGTCTAAGAAAGGGCAAGTTCTGTCCATTGTGGGATCATCCTTCCAAGATCTGAATTCATTATACAGAGACAATTCAGCCTAACAAACAAACCAAAAGAAAACACACACACAAAAAAACTTTTTAAAAAGTACAAAACATAAAATCACCTCGCAAAACCAAAACCTAGTTTAAACATTACTGAAAAACAACTGCTCTTCATTTAAAATAAATAATGCCTACTTGGACGGTTATTGATTAGTTATGACACATGGTAGCAATTTTTATTTTAAAATAATCCAAACTTACATTCCCAAATGACTAATTATTCCCTTTTCAATGTCTCCACTATGGATGTCCAATGATGCCATTACCTTCCCCTTTCCCTCCAAAAAATAATGTCGTAGCTCCTCTTAAGATACATGTGCATATTATTCTGAATATAAAAAATGTTAAGACTTTTCAGAAAATATAATCAAAAAGCAGTCTGGAGCCAAGTTAATAAAATTGTTTGAATAACTGTGACGGACCAAATTCTGAAACCTCGTTTGGGGTCAAAAATGACATGGACTGTTCTGTTATTATCCGAAGGCATTTCCAAAAGAATTTCCAAAATGTTTACTGTATAAGCAGCAAGACTAAAAGCAGCACAAATACAGCCTCCTAAACTGATTATTTTAAAATACAACATTTATTCAGGTATTTTTTGGCACATCAACATACAGTAACTACCATCTGAACTAACATAATCCATTGCTGCCACCTGCCTTCCTATTCACTCCTCCAGCTGTCTCCTTCCCTCCTCCTTATAATAAATTTTCCCCAAGTAGTCTCCCTAGAGGTCCTCAGATTCCCTCACCCCAGTTCAATACAACCTGCAGAAATATAAAACCACACCTACCCCCTGCCACCCAATCACTGAGTATCCTACCCCCTGCTCCTACAGCTGTAAGTGACTGACTAAAGCTATGACCTCTGGGACAGCTTACTGAGATGTGCAGATAGTCTACATGACAATAACAAAAGGCTGAGGGCATCCTAAGCTTTCCTGCAGACTTTCTGTTAAGGTGTGTAGTGGCAATTTCAATGTGAATTTTTTTCATCCCAATCCGTAAATTCCTTGAATCAAAGCTAAAGGCAAAAGGGTAAAGAATATTAGCAGAGAAGCAATACTTATATAAATTCATTTTCTTTGTAAAGCTTATCTTATAATGGACATAAACCCCAAGGCAGGTTAAGCAGTGTTCTAAGGAAAGAGTCTAGTTTAAAGGCAGTAATTTAAACCACATATTAAAAGCTATGTGCCAGGAACTATGCTAAAGCACTTGATAAACATATAACTCTCACAGCTGTGCAAGATAGATATTATGATTCCCGTTTTATAGATGAGGAAATTGGGACTTAAAGAGATAAAGTAACTGGCCCAAGGTTACAAAGCAAGAAAGCAACACTAAGGGTACATATTCAAATCTAAGTGAACTGACCACAAAGCCTTACATTGTGGATAGGTGTGTATGTGTTTCATGCTTACAATCTTCTAACGTCATGAATGAAAGGAGCCCTCGTGGCGCAGTGGTTAAAGCAATCAACTGCTAATCGAAAGGCTGGCAGTTCAAAACCACCAGCGGCTCCACAGGAGAAAGATGTGGCAGGCAGTCTGCTTCCATAGAGATTCACAGCCTTGGAAACCCTATGGGGTCACTATGAGTCGGAATCGACTTGACTGCAGTGGGCTGGTTGGTTGGTCACGACTGAGGGCCCCCATCATATTTTCTATAGATATGGATATGTTTCATTTTCATTCAGATTGTTTTATCTTTTTTAAGATCCATGCAGGTCAAATCTATGTATTTCCTTTGTCTATTAAGAGTTTTTGATACAAGTTTTCAAAAAACACCAGAATATATGCTATGCCTAGAAAGCAAAAAGTTATTATTTTGAAGTTATACAGTCTATTCTTATTTTAAGAGATTTCATAAACTAAAAATGAAACTTTAAACTGTTTCATGAGAAAATATATTTAAATTTTGTTAGCGCAAATTACAAGCGGAAAAAACAGAGTGAGAAACCCTAGCAAAAATACAAGTTGTACCATGTAATTAAAAATGTTATTTAAATAAAAAAAAAATGAGAATTAAAGTTATGGTTAAAAAAAGTTTCTTAGCTATTTAACAAATAACAATATGAATTTTAGATTCTGTCACACTCAGATCTGAACAAGTATTGAACTTCTCTGTCACTAGTATCATTTTACTAACAACTGAACAAAATGCCATTCAATTAAAACAGATAACAACCTCGGTTATGCAGTTCAATAAGCTCCTGCCTTCCATGCAAAAACTTAACTGAACAAGCATACTCAGTTTCTTAATAATTAGTGACAGTACCCAAAGACTTGAATTCTACAACATAAAATACTGTACAGCTTTTAAGAAAAAACAGGAGGAAGTGGTCGTCTGATTATTGATCAATCCTCTTGGAAATGATTCCATTAAAATCACATTTTCTCATAGTGTACAATGATTAAGTAAAAAAATATATAATTATATAATTTTTATTCACAATAGCTCAAAATATTTGTACACTGTCTTGGTTATCTTTTTATCTTTTACAATGATAAGCTTACCATTATTTCTTTTTCTTTGTTGCTTAATTATCTGAACTAACTCTAGAACACCCTTACCAATATAAAATTCTACTTCTCCCAGAATTTAAGGAAAAAAAAAGCAATGCACCATTCTTCAAGAAAATCACCTTATTGTCATGAATTTCTTATACTCAGATTTTGTTGGAGCACACTAGTAATAAATTTTTACTGGCCAGATAATTAAGCCACCTTTATACAACACATGACAGTTTGCTCCCTAAATGAAATATCACGATTAAGAAACTTACCAAGTTTCCAGCAGGTACTCCAAGGTCAGCTGGGTAAAGAATGGAACTGAAGAATCCCTGAAAGTAGCAACCTCTAGATAAAGCCTCCCCCATCTTAATATTGCATAATTTGTACTAAAAAATCTGCTGGCAAAAATCATAACTGACATCTCAGTGGTGAAAACTACTAAGTATCAATAGAGTCAGAGGGGAGAGTCCTTCAGGAGTTACCTCTTTGCAGTCTTTTACAATGGGCTGTATCACACTGAGGTCCTGATGACTGCCACTCATAGCACTGCTTGTACTTTTATTTCTTGAATGCCCCTTCTTAAAAGGTGTCTTTCCACCTGGCAGGGGCTCTCGAGTAGGTGATGTTGGCGAACTGGACAATACAAGTGTCTTCAATGCAGCTACTTCAGCCTGAAGTACATCAATCTTGAAAAGAAATCAACATAGTCACATACACTAAATACATTTTATGACAGATGCAACTAAATGTTAGCAATATGGTAGAAACACTTTGCTTTCAAAGACAGAAAATAAATTTAATGTGTATTTTAAATTGTAAGAAGCCATACAGCAAGGTAATAAAAGTAAAACGGATTTTTTTTATGTTTCCATATGGGGTGGATTCAGGGGCTATATACAAATGATTTTTTAAAAATTATCAAAATGTTTAAAAATTTATGTGTAATTTCAAAACCTTCAAAATATAATAGCTTATAATTAGTTGTAGTTTATTCTTAAAATAGTAAAAGCTAATAAAATTTATGTAGCTTTTCTTAATAAATCAAAAAAATAAAATTAACTTTAAAATGTGATTATATAACCCTTTTGTTAACACATGTGATTCATAAGCCTTTAAATCATTTGGTTCAATATAAATGGACACTAAAATGTTCATTATTAATTATACGTAAATAGTATTTATTTTCTTCTTCACAGTTTACTGTATTTCCTATTCCTCTAAAATAAGCACTACGTTTATAATCAGAACAAAATGCAATAAATGTTAAGGTATCTTTAAAATAATAATCACTAATTTCTTTAAATTTTATACCACTGAAAGCAGCAGAAACTTACTTTTCCTTGTGCTTCCTTTAGCTGTTTTTCTGCTGTTGCCTGCTTGACATTTGCTTCTCTCACCATCTTATGAGCTTCCTGAAAAAGTTAACGTCTCAAATTTGGAAACAAACTACTTAGTGTCTATTACTGAAACAAAGATACGTTACCAAAATTTAGCCTGAAAATTTAAGTACAGGCAGTCCCTGACCAGGGTTCTGTTCTGCTGACTTCATTGTAAATTGGTTCTGATGTAAGTCAGATACTTACTTTTTTTTTTAAGTTTTCATTATTGCCTGCTACACAGCAGTGTTTTGAACAAATCATAACATTGAACATCTGCCAGTGAACATCTGAGAATGATAACATCAGCTAATTACATTCTGCAGTACTGTACACAGTGCATATTACTAATGATAAGATGTACCAAAAAAAACATACAGTCATTAAGTGTGGTTTGTTGTAACTTGAATACGTCTTAAGTCAGATACTACCTACATTCAACGTCAACTACTGAAACAGCAGCTGATAATCAGATACACAACTATTTGGAGTCAGGATTAGGTACCTTCCTTCAGTACCTAGTATCACTGAGGCAGCCAAGTTGTGTTCAATTATTTTGATCAATGCTTATAAAATAAGAAATGTCAAAGCCAACTCTTTGCAGTTAGGTTTTTGTAATTTGGTCACACTATATTATATCTTAGTTACAACACAGACATACACGAGGGATAAGTAAAAATATTAACACATCAATAATGTTAGAACTGATAGGCATGACAGCTGAGAAGCCTTACAGATTCCAATGAAAACATTCACAAAATATTAAAGTAATGACTTTGTGCAGAGCAATGTAAAAAGGCAGATCAAGAGTTTACCTTTAATAGCGTCTTAATTTTTTAGTACCACAAATACGAAACTCTAGATATTTAATTCCTTTTTATTCATTTAATATTTATTCACAGCATCTCTTTGCAAGGTACTGTTCTAGGTGCTCATCAGATACTGGGAACACAGCCAAGGTCCCTGCTCTAAAGGCACTTACAGTCTGATTCCATTCTAATAAGCCAATAAAGTATCAAGGTAAGAATTCTGAATTTAATTCTAAGTGCAATATGAAGCCTTAGGGTTCACAGCATTGTTGAGAGACAACCAAGCATTTCATGGGCATTTATTAAAACAGGCTGAGAAAATAAATTATAAAAAACATCTTAAGACTATCTTTTTTTCCAGGTTAAATGTAAAGCATTCTTTGAACTGACTTTATTTTACATTATCTCAAAATCTGAGATATTAGGAAAAAATATATAACTTTATGGTTTTTGTAAGTATTTTGATACTTTTAAGACTCAATTTGCTATGTATAAAGTATAATTATATTCAAGATTATCTGTCATACATAATGAACTCCTAATTTCAATTTACATGTTAAGCTTACCAGAAGTGTTCAAACGGGGTGTATTAAAAATAACCTTTAATTGTTAAAAACGATACAAACATAAAATGCAAGTAAAAAAAAAAAAATCTTCTTAAGACCTGATAAACCGAGATCATGAATGCACAATTAAGACAGCAAAAAAACTTCTGACACTTTTTCTCATAATTCATAAATAAATGGTTTGGCTCAAGAAGAAGAACAAAGTGGGAGGCCTCACACTACCTGATTTTAGAACCTACTACACCACCACGGTAGTCAAAACAGCCTGGTACTGGTATAACAACAGATACATAGATCAATGGAACAGAATTGAGAATCCAGACA